TGAAAAGTGTGGCATCCAGTCCCTTTCTCTGAAAATACCATAGTGTCATTTAGTCATTGCACAAAGCATGGCAAATATTAATTGAGCTCTGCTTATGCATTGAGCACTGTAGATGAGTAAGATCCATTTTCATCATATCGAACATCAATAATGAATATGTTTATAATATCCAAACTTGGATTCCTATTTCAACTCTACCTAAACAAAGCTTGGCAACCTAAGCTTATTAGCCATAGAGCCATGGTATTTGTGCCTCAGTTTCCTTATTTGAAAAGTTTGGATGATGAAAGTGCCTGCATTTAAATGTCTACTTAAATATTAATTAGTTTTGTATGTAAAACTCCAGTGCTTAATGAAGGAATGTTATACCAGATATAGTGCCTACTCTCAGGGAGATTCTATTTATATATTTGCCTTCTTTAAAGTAAGCTTCTCCATAGATTTAGTGACAGGAAGGAAATGGAGAAAAATAATGAAACAAGCAAACTGGGTTTCCTTGAGTTTGTACATTGTGAGTCAGCATAACGTATTAGACAAATGGCAGGACTCTGTCACCTACCAGGGTTGACTTTGGTCAAACCCTTTAGTGTTTTCACCCTCTTTACTCTTCACTGATGGGAATAATAAATACTACATCACATGGTTGTGTTGTTAATTCTTCAAGAATTCAGGAAGGTGAGTCATGTGCAGCATTTTATTAAATTATAACATGCTGTTCATATGTAATGTACAGGTTGAGTACCTCTTATTTGAAATGCTTGGGATCAGAAATGTTTTAAATTTTGGACATTTAGGATTTGAAATATATTCATTGTTTTGGAAAACTGAAATGCTCCAGCATCTAAAATTTTTTTAGTGCAAACATGTTGCTCAAAGGAAATGCTCACTGGAACATTTTTTATTTCAGATTTTTTATCTAGGATGCTTAAACTGTATTACTGTGAACTTTTGATTATGCAACTTATAGGTAACTTTAGTTGTGATTTTATAATTACTTACTTAGTTTGCCTTTCTGCCATCTTCCTAACTGCCCAGGTGGTGTGTGATAAGGGTACCCAAATGTATTTATATAGCCTAAACCAATGTAACAAGAAACCTCATTCTGTTAATAATACTACTACATTGCAATGGAAAAAATTGTTTATAAATTATTTAATATTTTATTACCATGTTATGTGCCCTATAAGTGTTATTTTTCTTATATATGACAGAAATATAGGGGCATTATTGGATTGTAACATTCTATTCATTTGGAACATTTACATTGTAAATAGAAAATGTTTCTATGATTTACAGTTTAAAAGAAAAGAAAATGTAAACATTAGAATTTAATACAAGTTTATAGTTCTTAGTTATGGCATTAACAATTTTTGACATGCAACAAATTTATTTCTCTGTAATTTGTAATACAGTTTTTAAAAACTTGGCAATACGTACGTATGGTCTGTGATCCATACCTTTTCTAATTAAACAATGCAATTCAAAGGTAATGCCTGTGATTTCGAAATGACTGAACAAATATCTTATTTTTCAAAACAATAACATGACTATATATTATATCTATTTTATGAACTCTTGGCAAATATAGAGGACAATTTACTAGTCATTTTTACCTATTTCTTTCTTTTATAAAGAATAAAATTCCCCTTAATTTGAATTTGTCATTTACCCTAACCGCAGGATATACTTTATGAACATTAAGTTTGACAAAGGACAACGATGAAATCACTTTAAGGAAATATATAAACATATTTATAGAGGCTGAATGAATAGTAAAAATGGTTTGGAAATTAAAAGTGTAGAGAGAAAAGGAGACAAACCAGTTTCAAAAACATATGGAAATGAACAATGACAGCTATGTCAGAATTCAGGATATTGGACTAGACTGAAAAACAAGAGATCCTGAGAAAGTCCCTAGCACAGTTGTCATCATGCAATTCATTTATTTATTATCTCATTACAGAGAGGAGGAAAGGGAATATTTTAGTCCTGTGTTTTTAGATCACTGCAGGCTGTTTTATAGCAACAAATGTTGTTTGCCAGCATAACACACAATGCCATCCGTATACTTTTTCTTCTTTTGTTCTCCAGTTTTACATTTAATGGGTTAGAGATACAAATTGCTTATAATATTTTCCTTTCCTCCCTACCCATTAAAATGCACAGACATTATGCAGATAATGCATTGCAATATAATTTTATATAGTGAATCCAGATTCTATTTCACCACTTTTTCAATTTTTATAACATTCATAAAATATCAAGAAGCAAAATTATTCATTGTTATTTGGATTATGTATTTAATTCTAGAGCTATTCACTGAGTATTTATTATGTGGTTGTGCAGGATATGGTACTGTGCTTGTTTCTTGTATTCATGTCTTTTAATTATTCAGTGAAGAGAAGTTCCAGAATCAGAATAAAATGATAGGTAATGACTGGTCAATCCTTAGTGTTACTAAGCTTTTCAATGACAAATTACATCGTCTTGCCAGTTTTTGTTATGGAAATATTATCTCTGTTCTCTTGTTTCAACTTAAATTATAGAACTGTTTTACTTCAGTCTTGAAAATATCAAATAAATGATAAATGAGCTACAGCCAGTCATGACACGGGCAAGATCATAATAATTTTCTCCAAAGCACAACAGCCTAATAAATCTTAATTTTGAGTAACCAGCAATCAACAGAGTCAAGCTTTACTTATTCCACAGTTTCTCTGATATTAAACAGGACCAGAGAATCAAAATCAAAATTTTATGAAATGGCAGCTGAGTTAATAGAGGTTGAAGCTCTTCAAAAAATAAAAATTTCTATCAAAGAGTAGGATAATATTTGAAGAATATAACAGATACCATTGTCAGTACTTTTTTGTCACATAGCTTATCTTCCTCATTAAGTTTTTGTTGAAGAGAGAAATAAAACTCACAAAGAAGTTAGGATAAGTTCCACTCAAAAATAAGACTGTCTATGAGTTTTATGTGAAAGAAGATTAAAGTTCCATAAATGTGCATTTTTATGTTTTAGAATATAAATCTCTGTGTGCGTTTATCAGTAAGATATCTCTATCTAAGGCCACTTCAAGGATCCAAAAATGTCAACTTTACTATGACTTTCTATCTCCAATCTCAGCTTTCATTATAATGGGCCTGAAGTCTATACTTTGGAGACTATCGATTAAGCACTTTGTTAAGGTGCTTAGTTATGCTTCTTCTAGTTGTCTATCTGAATACAGATTTGTTATTATTCTGGTATAACCATGAGGTATATCTCAGATAAGGCTTGAGATGCCTGTATTAGCCTATTTGAGACATACAGTCCAGTAAACCCTGGAGTTACTCAATAAAGATTAATTGATGATGATAATAAATTATGATCTTATAACAAAGTTTTTAAAAGTGTCCAAGCAATATTATTAAAAATAGTATTTGTAAGGATGGAGGGAGGAGGGCAAGGGTTGAAAAACTTACTATTAGATACTATACTCACTGCCTGGGTGAAGGGATCAATTGTACCCCAAACCTCAGCATCACATTATATAGCCAAGTAACAAACCGGTACATGTAACCCCTGATTCCAAAATAAAAGTTGAAATTATTTAAAACACAATATGTATTAATTAGTGAGATGAAGGATCTAAAATTTGATAACCTCATTTGCAACTTTCTAAGAAGAACTTTTGATATATAACAGTTTTTCCTTGGTGATATGGAGGAATAGAACCACTCAATATCACTTTGCAACATGATATTGAGGCTTCAAAAAAGTCATTGGAGGGAAACGAGTATGGTTTTGACAATAATTGAAAACATACAAGCTTAGATCGAAGTATAAAAATCTCACCCAAAGGTAATTATACCAAACAGTATTTCTCACTTGTTTTTGAAACCTTCCTAGAGTTTTAAATTGATTTATTGTGCATAATATCTCAGTTCATCTCTCCCACTGAAATTGCTTTAGTTTTACATCACTTGAAATCTGTGATTTTTTAAAGTTCGTGTTATGAACTCATTATTCCCTGACATTCTCCTTTTTTTTTTTTTTCTCATTGGTCCCTCTTTTCATGTTAGAATGTAGCAAATTGTCTCTGGTAAAACAAAGTGTTTATAAGATAAAGAGATGCTGCTTGATGAGTCTGTGAATATGTTAACAATTTCCCAGAATTTTCACTGACTTGTATTGCTTAGTACCTTAAAAATAATTATGGAATTTAATTTGAAATGTATAAACATAACATGTTTGAGGATCTCTATTTTTATATGTTGACTCAGTTAAGAATTTCAGAAAAGACCAGAGCCAGTGGCTCATTATTTTTCTAAACCTTCTGATAAGTTATTTTTCTGAAACACAGTATTTTTCCACAATAATATCAGATATTAATGAATGGGAGGGAGAAAAATTTTTTCAATAAGGATTCCATATCAATTTACTTAGGGTAAGAGCATTCCACATTAATATGTAGTCTCATGAGGTGCATTTCTCGTAAGACTGACAAGCTATGGAAAATCTTAGGCCTTAGAAAATAATTTGCTGGGTAGTTCCTTCTGAACAAATTCTTTCAAATGCATAGAAAGCACAACTATTATGTGAAATAGTGGAATAAACTATAATATTTATAAGTGAGACTAGCCAAACTATTTGAAAGCTTTCTTTGTATAATTGCTGAACTGCCTTTCAAATGGAAATATTGTGTTCTTACTATAAATATTGTATTTCTTATGTCTGTAATTTGGAATGGCATGTTTGTTTAATCATAGTTTGATTACTTTTTGCACTTTTTCTCAAAGTTTATATTGTATTTTAAAGAATATAATTATTTTTAAATAACTGTATTAGAGATATGGGTTTTATTAAAACATATAATATTCAATAAAGCAAGTATGAGTGAAATAAATTATTTACTTTCAGTTTGGAAGAGGTGAATAAAAAGTGCTTGGCCAATACCGTACCATTAATCTATTCTCTTTTCTCCTTTCTCTCTTTACTTCTCTCTCTCCAATAGAAGTGGAACAAAAAGGTAATTAAATACCTTTCATAAATTATATACTATTTATAGGCTAAGTTATTTAACAGTTTAACATTTAGTTAAAATAATTTTGTTATTAATTCTTATCTATTTTATGAAAATTTATTTACTACTTCTGCTGCTCAACTTCACTTTAATCTGTATTACTGACAAGTGTCAGCTTCTTTTATATAGAAGAGTTTAATAGTAGAAAATTTTCAACAGTGTGTTTTATGCCCCCTTTATTTTTTAGTTAGAAATCCAACTCATGGTGACGAATACTGGTTGCTTTAATTTATTTTTATTTCTATAATAGAAAATTTTGCAAAGCTCTAGCATGGTTTCCCTACTCCATTAGTTTTTAACTAGTAGGGGGAAACGGGAAATAGTTTTCTGAACCACCTAAAGTAAGTTATGTTAGTAATCAAGGATGATTATTAACATTAGCATAAAATTTATACATAATTTTGATAATGGATACCTATTCTCTATAATTGTAGCAAGCATATGAAATTCTTATAATCAATATAATTATTGATTATGTATCGATGATGGCCCTCTGCCCTTGCTATGGAAGATTTTAGCAGTTAGCCTGTCCCCAAACATTTTATTTACTTAAAAGTGAAACTTTGGTCATTTTAGTAATGTACTGTTCTTTTTGATAGTCTCCAAAACCTACCTGAGTTTTATCTTAGATTGTTTTCCATTGCATCTATGCTTATAGTTACTGTTTAAAAGCTAATCACTAATTCCAAAGGAATAATACTTTAATCATTTAAAAAAAAGGTCAATATCCAAATTACTGTGATTTCCTAATTTTTTCACCCAGTACACTTCTAATCATTCCAAACATAACAATAGACTGCATGATTATTTTTCAGTATGTTTGCTTTACAAATATGGTAGAGCAGTGTTTCCCATAGTAGGTTCAGTGGAACTCTATACTCCAGAGAAGCTCTGTGAAAAAGGTCCCATGATCCAATTAGCGTGTGAAATTTGCTTACCCTTCCCACTGCTGCCTTGGAGATTCACAAATTCTAAGCTATTAGAATTCTAAGCCATTAGAATCTCTGCCACAATTATATTTAGTGTAACATTTCTTAAGCACATGTGGCTAAGGACCCCTTTTTCCTTTCTGTGTAACATCTAGCTACGCCACTTGAAACGTGTACTTCAAGGACCACCCTTTGGGAAACATTGCTTTATAGCCCCTTCATTACAGATGAATCAGCCAGGCTTTCTTACCCCAATTCACATGATATGCTACTGAATCATACTAAAAATCAAGTGAATAAGATGAATCCTGGCCATTTTCATTCTGAAGTATGAGCAGCAAAATATAGAAAGTAATCTTGGGTTTTAATGCTTTTCTCATGTAACAGTAAAAGGTACATGTTTTTAAGTTCCAATACTACTGTATTTAACAGGACATTTTTAACTGATTAAAATCTAGATCTTGGGTTCTTTTCTGTAACCTTTCACCTTTTCTTCTTTCCTTATTCCTTCTTTCCTTTCTTTTTCTTCCTTTCTCCTTTCCTTCCAGTATCCATCCATCACTCATTTTTAATTGTGTGGGTTGCATGCTCTGTGTGTGTTGTAGCAACTTTGAGAGCTTTTTTGCTAAAAGATTCAGTGGCCTGTATTACAGGGCTTTTCTTTTGCTTTATTAAAAAATTACTATGGGATATTCATCTGTTTCTTAATGATAACTACTGAATGACTAATTTCATCAGAATGGAAACAATAATTTTTGTTTCCAAATATGTTCTTCAGTAAACTAATAAAAGTATTGTGTATAAACATTTGTATTTCTTATATGCCTATAGAAAACATATGTCACATCTGATATATATTTCCAAAAATATTATATAATGTTTATAAAGGTAACAATGACAGGAATGCACAGCTACTTATAAAAAGGCTAGATATTTTTCAGTAAACAAAATCAAAACGATTTTGAAATGAAGCCAAAATTAATGTGGAAGAATACTTTGTGTTCTTAAAAGAATTCAGCAAAATAAGTGATGGTGGGTATCTCTTGTGAGAGTTGCATTCCATTTGATGAAAACTAAGACTATAAAACAAAATATTAAATTAATGTATTTATTTAACTGTTTCCCTTCCAACAGTTTTTCTTTGTCCTGGACTACTAAAAGGAGTATACCAGAGTGAACATTTGTTTGAATCCGACCACCAATCTGGGGCATGGTGCAAAGACCCTCTACAGGCATCTGACAAGATTTATTATATGCCCTGGACTCCCTACAGAACTGATACCCTGACTGAGTATTCATCCAAGGATGACTTCATTGCTGGAAGACCAACTACAACCTACAAGCTCCCTCATAGGGTGGATGGCACAGGATTTGTTGTGTATGATGGAGCTTTGTTCTTCAATAAAGAGCGCACCAGGAACATAGTCAAGTTTGATTTGCGAACTAGGATAAAGAGTGGAGAGGCTATCATAGCAAATGCCAATTACCACGATACCTCACCCTATCGATGGGGAGGCAAATCTGACATAGACCTGGCAGTAGATGAGAATGGGTTATGGGTAATCTATGCAACAGAACAAAACAATGGTAAAATTGTCATTAGTCAATTGAACCCTTACACCCTACGGATCGAAGGAACATGGGATACCGCATATGATAAAAGGTCAGCTTCCAATGCCTTTATGATTTGTGGAATCCTGTATGTGGTCAAATCTGTATATGAGGATGATGACAATGAGGCCACTGGGAATAAGATTGACTACATTTATAACACTGACCAAAGCAAGGATAGTTTGGTGGATGTACCCTTTCCCAATTCATACCAGTACATTGCAGCTGTGGATTACAACCCCAGGGACAACCTTCTTTATGTATGGAATAACTACCACGTCGTGAAATATTCTTTGGATTTTGGACCTCTGGATAGTAGATCAGGTAAGTTCAATCTTTTATGGTTCTCTTTGGGGAAATATTTACTGTTTGTTCTCAGTAAGTTCATTTTATGTTTTTATTAAACTTTCTTTGTGTTCTATGTATCTGAAAATCATTCTTTGCCTTTGCATCTAAAGAGCATTGCTTCTGATCACTTTCAGCTGTAAAAATGTATAACTACAAGAAATAGACTCTACTTTGTTCTGCTCAACTCCAGTCTTTAGCTCTTCTTCTTTGAAGGGCATTTGTCATTTTCAGCAGGTTAGTTCTTTGTGTAGTGAAGTGCGCAAAACCACTGATAAAATAGAATGCCACCCTGTCTAATTAATTGTGAAATGCCCACAGAAGTGCTGTCTACTTAGAACATGTCAAGGGCTAACTTGATGTTACATTTCAGGAGCCCACAACAATGTATTCACCTCACAGAGAGCATCATATATGACCTCTCCTTTTGGAAAGGTTATCAGTTTGAGTGTGCCTGTGTCTGAATGAACTTAATTAATATATTGAGAAAAGTGTTCATAACTGATAAGTACAGAAAAAATACATCTTAGTTTTTATAAGTTTTTATACTGCAATTTTTATACAGTTTTGAGTAACTTTGAGATAATCTTTAATTGCAATTCTTTAAAAGTGCCCTTTGAAAACATACCATTTCCTTTTAATGTTATTTAAAGACAATCATAAATAGTTTTATTTTTTTTTTCATTTTTATGTACTCAACTGAACACAGTTCTCTTAATTTAAAGGTTAAACTGTTTAGCTACTGTATTAGTCCATTCTCACACTGTTATAAAGACATAAACAAGACTACGTAACTTATAAAAGATACAGGTTTAATTGACTCAGTTCTCAATGGCTGGGGAGGCCTGGGGAAACTTACAATCATGGCAGAAGGTGAGAGAGAAGCAAAGGCACATCTTACATGGCAGCAGGCAAAAGAGAGTGAATCATGGAAAGAGGAAGAGACCCTTATAAAGCCATCAGATTTCATGAGAACTCACTATCATAAGAACAGCACAGGGGAAACTGCCCCCACGATCCAGTCACCCCTATCAGGTCCTGCCCTTGACCTGTGGGTACATGGAGATTACAATTCAAGATGAGATTTCAGTAGGGACTCAGAGCCAAACCATATCAACTAGTTGTAGTAGTGTTCTCCAAGATAAAGTATAATGGAAAGCCAAAATGTGGGTGTCTGAATTTTGACAGAGATATAGCAATTCAAAAATTAAATTATTTTTGCAATGCAGTTCTAAAAACATATAACTACAAGAAATTGACTCTCCTTTGTTCTGCTCAATTCCATTTTTTAGCCCTTCTTTTTTGAAGGGCATTTGTCATTTTCAGCACGTTAGTTCTTTATATAGTGAAAAGCACAAAACCTTTGCTAAAGTAAAATATAATCCTGTTAATATTTCTTATTTCTGTGTTGTTTCCAATTATGCTTTTACTAGTACTAGCATGACATTCTTCTTAGTCCAATATATGTACGCCTTTTTACTGAATTAGATTCTAAGATTTTATGGCCAATGGCCTTGCATTACCCATTCTTTCATTGTATTTTTCTCTTTCCATTATTTCTGTCTTCTCTGACTCTAGTGTAATGCATCACATATATATAATGAGGCTGAATCACTCTTGTGGAATGAATGAATGAATGAATGAATGGCTTTTCACTTCTTATTCAGTTAGGATGACAAATTAGGTGATAGTTTCTCTAATCATGGAAAGGGTTCAGTCAGAGTGATAGCACTTGTTTCCATAATCAACAAGATATGTTGAGTTGGTTTTTGTGGAAAGAAAAGACTGAATATGTAGTAGCAACAAAAGCAATTTCTCCTAAATCTTCAAAAAAATCTTCTAGATCAACTCTATTGTCTGACTCACTGCTGTACAGGTAAGGTTTTTTGTTTGTTTTTCAACACATTGCATTCTCCAGTTTAAAACTTGATCAAGAATCCATTATCTAGAGTATTCTGGGAAGACATTTCTTTTATAGCTGTAATATTCTTAAACTAAAATTTATATTTGGTTAGTGAAAACTTTGTTATGGATGCTTTTTAGCCTTTTTTGACTCTTTTTGACTGGAACAGGAAGTGATTTCTAGTATCTCAAAGGAATAATAAATAATAACTCATTTTTTAGTTAAACAATGAATAAGGGGAAATAACATAATTCAAATTTTATTTATTTGAAAGATCATACTTTATTTTTATTTAGAATAATAGGTTAAAATTAATTACCTTTTTCGGTTCTGATTGATAGACTAAAGGAGGTTCTTAACTCAGTTTTTTTAAAGTTATCCTTAAATAATAAGATGATACCATAATCCCATGTGCTTAAAAACTTGTCAAAAATATTTTAGCATACATACAATTGTAGCATACAATAACATGAATATATATACTCATACACATATATGACTATATGTTTTTTGTATGTATATAATATACATGTATGTATGTATAGTCTTATATGTGTATGAGTATACATATTCATATGGTTATTGTTATATGTTTATATATTCATATGTTCATATATTCATATATGCCCCCATATGTATGTACATACATATGGAGGGGGGTAAGAGAATGAATCACTGTAATTGTGAACATAAGGAAAAGTATATCTTCGTTTAATTTTTTTTAATGTATTTATCAGTCTGTTTATGAGAGTTAAAATATGGGCCATCGAGCCTGCATGTACTAGTGCCCATATATGTTAAAAGGATGCTATTGAAGCAAAGACTTGGAACCAACCCAAATGCCCATTGATGATAGACTGACAGGGAAAATGTGGCCCATATACACCATGGAATACTATGCAGCCATAAAAAAGGATGAGTTCATGTCCTTTGTAGGGACATGGGTGAACCTGGAAACCATCATTCTCAGCAGGCTGACACAAGAACAGAAAATCAAACACCGCATGTTCTCACTCATAGGCGGGTGTTGGACAATGAGAACACATGGACACAGAGAGGGGAGCATCACACACTGAGATTTCAAATGCCACAGAGAAATGATCCTGTCTGACTTGGTTCATGGGCATATTGCAAATGCTTAGCAGAAGCCTTACAAACAGTATGTGGTCAATAAAAGATTGCTGAATACATGGATATCACTAATTTGAATTATTTCTAACATTCAAGCCTGGTGAGGTGGCATGCACCTCTAATCCCAGCTACTCAGGAGGCTGAGGCTGGAGAAACGCTTGAGCCCAGGAGGTCAAGACCAGCCTGGGGAACACAGCAAGTCTTCATCTTAAAAAAAAAAAAAGGTTCATAATTCAATTACTATTAAAACATCCAAGTCATTTCATTTTCAAAAAAAAAAAAAAAAAAAAAAGAATGCTATTGATGGCTGGGCATGGTGGCTTACGCCTATAATCCTAGCACTTTGGGAGGCTGAAGTGTGCAGATGACTTAAGATCAGGAGTTCAAAAACCAGTCTGGCCAACATGGTGAAACCCCATCTCTACTAAAAATAAAAATTAAAAAAATTAGCTGGACGTGGTAGTGTGTGCCTGTAGTGCCAGCTACTTGGGAGGATGAGACAGGAGAATTGCTTGAACCTGGGAGGTGGAGGTTGCAGCGAGCCTAGGTCACACCACTGGACTCCAACCTGGGTGACAGAGCGAAACTCTGTCTCAGAAAAAAAAGGATGCTATTGAAGTAGCAAACATTAAGAAGTGGTAGACTTGCAGCTTCTAAAATGAATTCCTAACTTAAGTCAAGAGATTGAACTTTCATTCCTTTTGAACAATGACAAGACTTTGTTTTACAAATAGTGAAATTTTACCTGTTAAATTTATCAATATAATCACAAAAAACTATAAATTTTCATGCATGAATACTCAAATTGAAAAGCTAATGCTTTAGCATGGACTTATTGCAGTTTATGGGTGGAAAGAATATGTATAGAAATAAATTTTATGCATGATGTGTGCAGATAGGAAAATTTCAGTTAGTGTTAATAGAGGCATTTCATCTTATTTCACACAAACAGTTTCAGCTGGGTATTTTTCATTAGTAAATTACATTGACTTTTTTTTTTTTTTTTTAAAGAAATTGCCTTTAGTGAATTCTTATTGCTATTTTATTATGGGTCCTATGTGTCTATGTTCTTAAACCCTCAACTTATTACAAATATGTTAGAGTCAAAAACTAATCCTAAATCTGTAGACCCAAAGTACATTTGTTGTTAACATCTGTTGGTAGCAGGCCGAGTCTTTTTGTGATGATTTTAACTGTGTTCTGATGAACAAAAATCCACTCCTTTGAAGTTTGTATGTAAAGGGGTATCTGTGTTTTATGTCTCCTGTAGAAAGATCTGGTGTTAAAAAATAAAAGACAAATATGCTTCTTTTGGATAAAGATCTTCGGATGACACTTGGTGAGGCTTACACATAGGTAGCATAGACTTCTGAACATGCTCATGGGAGTCAGAAGGATGTGGGTTTGAATTCTCTCTGCCTCTTATTTGACTCTGGGCAGGTTGTTCAGTCTTCAGTCTTGATTTCTTCAGACTATAAAGTGGAAAAAATAACATCAACATCAGATTACTGTTATATCTTAATGAGAAAATATATGTAATAGGCATGATACAGTAACAAATAGCCTAATAGATTTGTACCAACCCTACAAAGACCATTTTTATCCACATTTTCTAAACTAAGGACCTAAAACACGGCAGCTCATATAACTTATTCAAAAATTGCCCAGATGTTAGCACCAGGCACTCTCTAGATACAAACATCATTTGTAGATCATATTACGAGTTAATCATCATGTATTTGTACTCTAAAAATCGTATCTACTTTTCAGCCATGAACTCAAATGATTTGTTTTGTTTTTATAAGGGTCTTTTTTTTAGTCATTTTATCATTCTGTTTTCTTCTTTTTTAAATTATTTCCATAAGCTTTTCAGGAACAGGTGATATTTGGTTACATGAGTAAGTTTTTTAGTGGTGATTTGTGAGATTTTGCTGCACCCATCACC